GCACCCACCACCACCCAAAGACTCTGTAGTAACACTGAGCTGGTCATGGTCTCCATGCAACAATGCTAACAGCTGGGAGGCTCCCTTGCAGACCTCCAGGTCGCCAAGGATCCAGCCACCAAGCAGCAGCCAGAGAAGTGCTCTTCTCTCAGGAGAAGTAGCAGCAATTCCTCAGTATCTGGCTAACCAGAGGAGAGCAGGAAAGGAGTTCTCTGAAAAGTGCCATCTTCTTGCACAGACACTATGAACAGGCAGGTGGGGCTGAGCAGCAGCTGTGCAGAAGCACCTGCTACAAGGCATGTTCTGTATTCATTACAGTATGTAATGGAGTATATTGTTATGGGCTGCTTGCTGACATCACTGATAGCTGAAGACTCTGGTCAACACTTTCATTGCCTTCCCCTGTGACTGTTTTGACTCTGTGCTACTCTATGATCTTTGTTCTTGTGCTAAGGAGCATGAGGTTTCCATTTCCTCTAGGCTAGTATTTATTACAGACTTTGAAAGACACTCCATACACAGACAAAAGCTGCTAGAGGAGTTTGATTGGCAAGGAGGTGGGGGAGGAACGGGGAAAAAGTAGGGAGATAGAAAAACCATCTGGAGAGTTCAGATTGGTAAGGACTGTTTCTGCACATGCACATACATGACTGCTGCCTACCTGGCAGGTCCCCTTGTTCCCATGGCTCTGAAAGGTAACATTCTCCATACTGATGTCACTCTGGCTGACAGTCAGTGTGACTGGAAGAAGTGATGTCATTTACACAAGCACTTGGTGCAGCATGACTTTCAGGAAGGTCATCAATCAAGGTGGTGGAACCCATCATTCCGGGGGTTGGTCACCCTGCCACTGACTCAGAGCATGTCAATGGGAAGCAAATGCAGGCTGGCAATACTGAGGACTAAAATTAGTTTTGTAAAACCTCAATCTGGCTCTAGATTTGCACACACCAGAACACAGGCAGGTGCCATCCAGCTCCTGTTTTATTTGAATGACCAAAGTCTGTGGGTCAGAAGTTCAGTTGGGCTGGTTCACAATGGCTCAATAACATTTTTTTCCTGTAGTGTATTGTGACAGCTTTGCTCCATCCATCTCTAAAAGCAAACAGGATGAGGATGCCTGAAGACTGAAGAATTAACAATACTCTACCTAGCAGAGATGACATCATGGGGAGTTTGTTTCCATGTCAGTGTCTGTGCCCCAATGTCAAGCAGACCACAACACAGACAGCAAGAAGGCATGTAATGGAACAGCTCATCTGGAGAGGTTGTGGAATCCTCATCCTTGGAGGTTTGTAAAAATACGTTTGACAAACATATGTCAAGTATGATCTAAGTTTACTTAATAATGTTTCAGCACACGGGGATGGACTAGATGACCTCTTGAGTTCTCTTCCAGCCCTACATTTCTATGAAAGCAGCTACATGAGAAATGTGGCAGAGTCCACAACATACAAATGTCCACATACATCTAAGGACAGCACACACAATTTAAGTAGACAGAGGTACTGAGGGCTCCTAACAGGGGTAAGGAACATGAGGGTGTATCTGCAGCTCGCCTAAGCCTGTCCACTTTCTCACGCTGAGATTATACATGATAACCAAACAATCACACCTGATCAGGTGCCTATCAATACACACTGTGAAGGGTAGACACTGTACCTTTAAATGTTGTGAATGGATCTGCCATGTTAGAAGAGTTAATCCCCCCACTCCCCCCTAAACCCCTCTTAGCTACAGTGATGGGATAATTAGATGCGAGGGCTCAGCTCAGATGATGCTCCAGTTGCTTAGCAACTAATGGTTTCCATGGAAATGGCAAAGCACAGCCTTCAGAGCAGTAAGTGAGCAGTGCAGCAGGGCTGGGAGAGATGCCTTAAACTCTCGCACTGATCCGCTCCTCCAGAAACACTCAGAGGCCTTGAGGTATTAGGGAAAATGGGAAGGGGGTGCCTTAAAGACACAATATCCCTGTTTCAAGTTATAGTAAAAGGAATATCTTCTGTTGCTGTTTACAGTGTTGTTGCAGCCATGTTGGTCCTAGGACATTAGAAAGACAAGGACGGGGGGCGATGCAATATCTTTTATTCGACCAACTTCTGTTGGTGAAAGACAAGCTTTCAAGCTACACAGAGCTCTTCTTCAGGTCAGTGTAGCTCAAGAGTTTGTCTTTTTTCATCAACAGAAGTTGGTCCAATAAAAAAATATTACCTTACCCACCTTGTCTCTTTCATAAAAAGGAATGTGATTTTTCAAGTGATGCTTTAAATGACACATTCCACACATCTCAGTGACTCCCCATTGAGTGACAGCCCTCAGGTTGGAGCAGGAGCTGTGCATCTGTATGATACTGTCTACCTCACCCGAAGGCTTTGAATCCTGACACTAATGCCCTGATGTGTGGATCCTACTGTACTCAAAGACTCAGAGTGTGAATTCTGGCTCCAGTGCTTGGATACAGGGGCTGGGACGTGAATCCACAAACTAATACATTTAGGTGAGGAATGAAGTTCAGACCTGTAATATATATATACTTGGTACTTTAATAGGACCAATTTCATAAAGCTCAGAACAATTACGAGCCAAATCAGTTGAGAGGAAGAATTAAATCAGAAAAATGTGAATGATGATCATGAATCACTTAAAAATATCTTACTAGATGCCCCAAACGCCGCAATCAAGGAAGAAGGCCATACTGGTTAAAAAACTGACCTGATTTAGAGGGGAAAGTGAAGGCAGCTATGAAAAATAATATATATAACAAATGGAAGAAAGGGTAAGTTAATAGGAATGGATATAAATCAAAAGTTAGCAATATAGAAAATTGCTAAGGGGAGCAAAAGGACGCAAGAAGAAATCTATGGCCAACAGAGTTAAAGACAATAAGGAGTATTTTTAAGGATATTAGGAGCAAAAAGAATCCTGACAATGGTTTTGGTCCATTACTAGATAGACATGGTAGAATTATCAACAATAATAATGCAGAAAAGGCAGAACTATTCAATAAATATTTCTGTTCTGTGTTAGGTGAAAAAACAGCTATAATTTCATCATATGGTGATAACACTCTTTCCATTTTACTAGTATCTCTGGAGGATGTTCAACAGAAGCTACTAAAATCAGACATTTTTACATCAGCAGGTCCAGTTAACTTGAATTTAAGAGGAGGAGATTGCTGGACCATTAATGTTGATTTTCAGTAAATCTTGGAGCACTGGGGAAGTTCCAAAAGACTGGAAGAAAGCTAATGTTGTGCCAGTTTTTAAAAAGGGTAAACAGGATGACCTGGGTAATTATAGGCTTGTCAGCCTGACATCGATCCGGGGAAAGATAATGGAGCGGCTGATATGGGACTCAGTTAATAAAGAATTAAAGCAGAGGAATCTAATTAATGAAAATCAACATGGGATTTTGGAAAATAGATCCTGTCAAACTAACTTGATATTTTTTTTGATGATATTACAAGTTTGGTTGATAAAGGTAACACTGTTAGCATAATATCCTTAAGACTTCTGTAAGGTGTTTGACCTGGTGTCACACAACATTTTGATTAAAAATCTTGAATGATATACAATTAATATAGCATGTATTAAATGGATTACTAAACTGGATAACGGATAGGTCTCAAAATGTAATTGTAAACAGGAATTGTCATCAAGCGAGTGTGTTTCCAGTGGGGTCCTGCAGGGATCAGTTCTTGGGCCTACACAGTTTAACATTTTTAGCAATGACCTGGAAGAAAACACAAAATCATCACTAATAAAGTTTGCAGATGACATAACAATTGGGGGAGTGGTACATAATTAAGAGGAAATGTCATTGATTCAGAGAAATTTGGATTGCTTGGTAAACTGGGCCAAATCAAACAATATGCATTTTAATACAGCTAAATGTAAATGTATACACCTAAGAACAAAGAATATAGGCCATATTAACAGGATGGGGGACTCTAGCCTGGGAAGCAGTGACTCTGAAAAACACTTGGAGGTTGTGGTGGATTATCAGCTGAACATGACCTACTAATGTGATGCTGTGACCAAAAGAGCTAATGAGATCCTGGATGCATAAACAGGGGAATCTCGAGTGGGAGTAGAGAGATATTATTTTACCTCTGTATTTACAACTGATGCAACCACTGCCGGAATACTGTGTCCAGTTATGGTGCCCACAATTCAAGAAAGATGTTTATAAATTGGAGGGGATTCAGAGAAAAGCCACGCAAATGATTAAAGGATTGGAAACCATACCTTTTGATGATAGACCCAAAGAACTCAATCTGTTTTGCTTAACAAAGAGAAGTTTAAGGGGTGACTTGATTACAGTCTATAAGTATCTACATGGGGAACAAATATTTAATAATGGGCTCTTCAATCTAGCAGAGAGAGGTCTAACATGATCCAATGGCTGGAAGTTGAAACTAGGCAAAGTCAGACAGTAATTAAACATTGGAACAATCTGCCAAGGGTTGTGGTGGATTCTTCACCACTGAGAATTTTAAAATTAAGATTGGATGTTTTTCTAAAACATATGCACTTCGAATTATTCTGGGGAAGTTCTAGGGCAAGGGTTCTCACAACAAATTTTTTGGTGGCCTCAGAGGGCACCAACTCCTGCTGGTGGCTACTCTGACAATTTGTTCCTAAAATACTTAATTAACTTTAGGAAAAACCAATAAATATACACATACACATGTCCAAATTATTATAATTTATTTATGTAGGATTTATTTTTTGCAGTCTCAATAATCAAAATAATGTACAGTTGTCTCTATTCTTTACTGGACCTAAACAGAATAGAAGCACAAATAAGGTGCTTTGCACATTCTTGTCATGTCTTTTGCTTTTTTGGGGGGTACTTTTTTTTTTTTTTCCAGACTTGCTAGTTATTAAGTCTGCTGTGAAAAATTATTTTAACAAACATACAAATATCACTTTTCACAGCAAACTTACTCAGTCCTGGCAAGCCTGAAGACAAATTAGGCCCTGGATGGGGAGGCTGATATGGAGGCAGCAGGAGCCAGGGGCACTGGAGTAGGCAGCGACAGCCAGGAGTATGTGAGTGGTGGTGACCTTGGGGCCGGAGCCCGCCACTGTACAGCCAGGGAACAGAGCCTGAAGCCCCACGGCTGGAGCCTACCACCCGCCACTCAAGGTCTGAAGTTTGACCCCATCAGCCCTGGTAAGGAACTCACTGGCTGCCTGCTCCTCCAGCTTTTGTCTTTTCAGAGGTGGGCAGGGCTCACCCACTGCTGGCAGCCCTGGGGGAGGGGACCGCTGTTTTGCCACACACACACACTCATGGCCCAGGAGGCTGTGGCTGCAAGAAAAGTCCCTGGTGGCCACATGCAGCCACGGTGGCCACATTTGAGAAATGCTGGTTATACAGGAGGTTGGACTAGATAATCACAATGGTCCCTTCTAGCTTCAGAATCTATAAATCTAGATGTTGAATGTTGCCTCTTAGGGATCGGGATAAAAGGCATCCAGCTCAGTGCTGCTGAAACAAAGGACAAGAGGTGATTTCATCCAGATCCTCTAGTTCTGTAACATATACGAAAATGCCACCAATTGTGCATCAGTGAAAGTTGAGTTCAGATTTAGTTTTTGGATGAGATTACAAGTTTGGTTGATAAAGGTAATAGTGTTGATGGAATATATTTACGATGATCACAATGGTCCCTTCTGGCCTTAGAATCTATGCCTAAATCCATCATGATAATAATGGCAAATGAAGGTAGCACTTGTTTAACACCCTACACTCCCAGTGTATCACTACCAGTGCCAGTTTCTGACTACGTCCTATACTATGCCAGTCCCAGATGTCTTCACACTGTATTACAGCCATGGCTTGCCTATCTCCTCCCACACAACACTCCACAAGCTGAGAGTGCAGCTGTATCACTTCAGGCTGTGATCCTGTCATCTCCAATAAGTTAAAGCAAAGCCAGGCCTGGTCAATACTTAGATATGAGATCTCTAGGGTTCTGCAGGAAGTGCTGATGATTCAGTAGACGGTTCTTCGCACTGACCCAATGTTCCACTATGGTGCTGAAGGCACTAAATTGTAAAACTTAGGTCCTGGCCACTTGTGGTCATTAAGGGATGTAAGGTATACTTCTGTAAGACCAGGGGTGTTTAACCCCAATGTTCTGGCCCAATTCCAATTCTGATTATTCTATTCGGCCTCCCTAAATTCCCTATGAAGTTTCACTTGGATATGGAATTTTTCTTCATTTCCTGCCCTAAACTCTTGTGTAGTGATGTCAAGGATTTTCAAGGCCAACCACTGATTTGTTTCACCTCAGAAGTGGCTCCATTTCAGCAGAGAGTGAGGTCGTCTCTGCACATAAAGCTTTTAAAATATCACAGGCTTCACTGGCATGCTAGGTTCTACATAAACTTAAATCACAAAGCCATGGCCAGCTCTCAACGTCTCCCTCACCTCATCCATCCCTTCCACTTGCCACAGGAGGACTATCCATCCTAGACTACATGGCAACATGCTGTAGTGCCTTGGCATTTGCTGCAGCACAGAGAATCATCATCCAGCTTTTCCCTTTCCCCTCTGAGAGAAGGCTGATGGCATGGATGTGCTCCATCTTCTTGACAAAAGGGATCCAAAACAGAGGACAGTCTGATTACAGAATAGGCTTTTCCCACAGATAGGTGTTATCAAATAAGGGCATACTGCGAGTGCACTTTGGCATGGAGCAGTCAGACTGGTTTGGGTCCTGGAAAGCCCCATCTGCAACACTTGGCCTGGTCAAAGCCATGAATTCTTGAAAACTCTGGAGAATGTGTTTTCATGCCTATTGTGATAATTTACTTGCCCTCATAATAAATCCACATGGTGCTGGATGCAAGCTACAAGGCTTAGTTGACAGGAGCAGTATTTATCATTCCCTTTCTTGTAGGGACACCATGCAGTGCACTAGGTCATACTCTGAGGTCTGAGAGTCACCCCTTTATACAAGGCTGTCTGAATCCACCTCAGTGCTCATGCTATTATTTTTGCAGAACAAAGCAGAGCAGAAGGGCAATGGCTAGGGAATATATGGCACCTTCTCCGGTGGATTTACTATAGTAGATTTACCAGAATATATTCATTCCACAGAGATTAGAACCCATCCCACCCAACTCCCTGGTTATGAAGGGGTGTTTACAGTCCCTCTATATATGTCCCTCTTCAGAGAATTGTTCGAGTCAGTTTCACATCTTCAGTCCCATGATTTGGTCTTGGTCCAGGAGAGGTGCCCACATCACAAAAGCAATCAGCACAGCTGACACTAGTTGGCCCCCTTCTCTGGCAGCCTCAGCAGTGAGCACAAAGGCTGAATGGCCAGAAGCAGTGATGTCATTTAAACAAGTACTGGGCTTGGTGTGCATGCAGCTGGATTGTCCCTCTTCCCCAAAGAAGGGTCCCCTCTTGCCAGGCAGTCTGGGAAAGCGTCTTCTGCTATTGCTCAGGCAGGCAGTGCCTGGCTCAGGAGGTCTCAGAGAATCTCAGGGACCATCAACCAGCATCAAATTGAGTGTAATTCTTCTGTGACCAAACCAGGCACAATTACGCCATGTGGGAGGTGCTGTCACTTTAAACACTCACCAGCACTGGCTGCCGCCTGTTCCCCCGGCCATTCACATATTTAATTAGTGGTTACTATAGTGCAGTGCTCCGCACAGCTGAGCCCTAATTGGGCGACCGTGAGACACTGCTGCCAACGGCCCAGCGCTTCTCCTGCATATTTACATACTGTACGTAACCAGATCGAGCTGGCTGGGCTCCCCTGGGCTCCCGATAGGCAACCGGCAGCGCCCTCTGGTGGGCAGGCAACGCCAGTCGCGAAGTCATTCCCCTCCTGGATGCCAGGCGCACCAGTGAGAGGGAAGTCTTTGTTTCTCTCCTAGGCAGAGGACTGCTCCCTTCTCTTCGCAGGTCGCACCTGGCAAGTTTGTATTCAAAGGGAAATGCAGCAGCAGGCTCTATCGTTGTGGTCATGAAGGGCATTAGCACAACTGTGGGGGGATGACTGTGAGTGGGATAGCAGGGCATACTGTGGGTCAGGATTGAGGGGCATTGGCAACAGGGACTCAGAGCAGGAGGGGATATGCTTTTCCAGTGTGTCCCAGCTAGGCCAGGGTAGGGGGACTCTCCATTTCCCCACCACCTGCTTTGCTTGTGGTATTCTGTTATTTCCTTATAAAATGCAATTTTCCTCCTCAGTGACACAAAAAACCCATTAGTGGCAGCAAAGGTGAGGAGGGAGGCTTGCTGCAGCATCCAGAGATGACATGTGGCTCCAAGATTATCAGAATTATTGGAACAAGGAAATTTAAAAACAATAACACAACTTCCCCATCATGGGAACAGAATTTTATGCCTTTTTTAGGATTTTAATTCTGCATGTGCCAGGCACCGCTAGAGATAGTGCAGGTGCATCTTGCTTCCTTGTATTCCACTCAATCCTGCTCTGTTTCCATGTGGACTGAACTTCCCTTCTAGTCCTGCATTCCACTTATCCTCAGGCTGCGAATGACCCTCAGTCCCAACCTGCAGACCCAATGCTAGTTCAGTCATGGGCTCCTCTTGCAGCTCTGCCAAAGCCCCTCAGTCCTGCTCAGCAGTCCACCTGCTATTCCCTTTATAAGAGGAGAGATAAAATGTTAAGATATTTGCCATCTCTGCTGTTTGAAGCCTCTGTCCAAGTATCAGCCTGTCACTGAGCTAATTTCCCTGTGATTAAGGTCTTTTCCCTGGCTACCTCAAACCACCGTCCTATTGTCAGTCAGCCTCTCTCTGATCCTCCCTCATCAGAGACCAGCACTCTGGAAAGGTATCAGAGCACATTTCTTCCTTTCTTTTTTTTTTTATAAAGATTGCAGAACATTTCAAACTCTTTCTCCTATTGCTATCAAACATGGAAATCAAAGGGAAACGCCATGCTTTGTTCAGTGGGGTAGCAGCGCAAAAGGTGAGCAGCAAACCCAGAACTACCAAATACTCTTGTCAACTTGACTTTGAAGTAGTTTTGAAAATCTTGGAGGAGGGGCAGAGATCTGAGATCAGCTCTTCTGCTGCAAGTTCACAGAGTTTAAGGACATAGGGGGTGCAAATTTGCTCTTCCCCCACCCGAAAAATAAAGTTTCTGTACTCGAGACACCTCCAAGTCAGGACATAAAGCTGAGGAAAACTGATTATTCTAGGAATTTGTGCAGCTACTGTGCAATGAACTGGCTATTGCTTGGCTCTCTCACACACACAATGTGTGTGTTTCACTCACCCTCCCACCTACCCCCTTACACACTGTCTGGCTATAGAGTAGACAACCTATGTCGGCAAAACTTACATCACTCATGGGTGTGAATATTCCACCACCCGAGCAATATAAGTTACACAGACATAAGCACTTCTGTGCACAGCACTGTCACCGGGAGAGCTTCTCCTGCTGAGATAGCTTATACCGCTCGTGGAGGCGGTTTTCTTATGCCAATGGGAGAACTCTCTCCTGTCAGCATAGAACATCTTCACCAGATGTACTGCAGTGGTGCACCCGTATTGGTACAGCTGCGCTTCTGCAGAGCTGTTCAGATAGGCATGGACTTGCACACACAGGTCCTACCTATGCTGCAACAAGAACTCCTGTCAAGGGACCTACTTAAACAGGGCTATCCTCATGTTCCACTGAAGCATGGTTTCAATTTCCACTAGAAACAGGACCTTAAGCATTATGGAGTTAGGACTCAGGCATTCTATTCCCAGATCTGCTGCCAGCCTTGCTCTAAGGCAAGGTCATTAACCTCCACTTTACAAATGGAGAAGACCAATGAATTTGACATTATCCAGGTTTTCATTGTGCCCTCAAGTCATGGTAAAGCCCTGGATAGTTACAATGATTAGAATCCTTCTGCACTGCAAATATCAGCCATGCCCAGGTACCGACAGGTTTAACCAGGTGCCCGACATAGCTGCAGTTGTGGTGCTGACAGGACCACAGCATCTCTCTGATTTCTTGGTTTCCTCGCTGCCTCATGGTCTCTTTCTTTCTCAATTTGCCTCTGCTCATCTGAACACGCCCTCTCCCTCTGTTTAATCAGGAAGAGGGAGCCATTTCTGAGTAACCTAACCACCAGGGCTGTTCTTAACTGTCACACAGATCAGGGATCCTGCCTTCAGGACAGACA